ATGTTTGGGCACCCCTGGGCTAGAGACTAGCATGGATAAGATGGCATTAGCATTGAAGAGGCTAGCGACTAGCATGGATAAGCTGGCATTAGCATTAAAGAGGCTAGTGACTAGCATGGATAAGCTGATGTTAGTATTCAACAGGCTAGCGACTAGCATGGATAAGCTGTCATTAGCATCAAAGAGGCTAGTGACTAGCATGGATAAGATGGCATTAGCATTAAAGAGGCTAGCGACTAGCATGGATAAGCTGTCATTAGCATCAAAGAGGCTAGTGACTAGCATGAATAAGCTGCCATTAGTATTGGACAGGCTAGCGACTAACAAGGATAAGCTGGTGTTGGCATCGGAGAGACTAGCACCTAGCATGGATAGGATGGCATTAGCATCAAAGAGGCTAGCAACTAGCATGGATAAGCTAGTGTTAGCATAGGAGAGGCTAACAACTAGCATGGATAAGCTGGTGTTAGCATCAGAGAGGCTAGCAACTAGCATGGATAAGCTGGCAATAGCATCAAAGAAGCTAGCAACTAGCATGGATAAGCTGGCATTAGCACCAAAGAAGCTAGAAACAAGCATGGATAAGCTGGTTTTAGCATCAGCAAGACTAGCGACTGGCATGGATAAGCTGGCGTTAGCATCGAAGAGGCTAGAGACTAGCATGAATAAGCTGGCGTTAGTATTCAACAGGCTAGCAACTAGCATGGATAAGCTGGTGTTAGCATCAAAGAAACTAGCGACTAGCATGAATGAGCTAGTTTTAGCATCAGAGATGCTAGCGATTAGCATGGGTAAGCTGGCGTTAGCATCGGAGCAGCTATAGTCTTAATTTTGGCCCTCATACTGTGCCATTAACCAGCACCAAACTAAAACCTGTTGTTGTCTCTTCTGCTTTAATAAAACCAAACCTGCGTTTAAAAAGTGGACTCTCCTGTTCTACAGGCCTCTTCTCTGTTTGCAATACCCCACCCCAACATCCCAACCTGGGACCCCTGGGGTTCTCCGAAGGGCAGAATCCTCCTTCCCCTGACGTCTGAAATTAATTCAAACAAAGCAGTTTTCATTAAAGCAGGCTGCTGCAGAGTTCTGCTGCATCTCAATTCACAGCTTTTAGTTTCCATCAGAAACACTTAGAAGCACAGACGCCTCAGAGGAACACCATTCTGCTTCCAGAGGAATTAACTGGTTTTGTGTCGAACTCAACGTGTAATGACTGTTTTTAATGTCTCTGCTCTCAGACCGGTCACTTTGCATTAATGCATGAATTCATTAATGCAGGTTTGTCTCTGCAGGTGAACTCATGTGAAACAAACCTGCAGAAGAGAGGACAGAAGGAGACATCTGTGAGGACAGATGGAGACATCTGTGAGGACAGACAGAGACGTCTGTCTCAGAGACATCTGTGAGGACAGACGGAGACATCTGTGAGGACAGATGGAGACATCTGTGAGGACAGATGGAGACATCTGTGAGGACATATGGAGACATCTGTCTCAGAGACATCTGAAAGGACAGACAGAGACATCTGTGAGGACAGACAGAGATCTGTGAGGACAGACAGAGACATCTGTGAGGACAGATGGAGACATCTGTCTCAGAGACATCTGAGAGGACAGACAGAGACATCTGTGAGGACAGACAGACATCTGTGAGGACAGACAGACATCTGTGAGGACAGACAGAGACATCTGAGAGGACAGACAGACATCTGTGAGGACAGACAGACATCTGAGAGGACAGACGGAGACATCTGTGAGGACAGACGGAGACATCTGTGAGGACAGACGGAGACGTCTGTCTCAGAGACAGCTGTGAGGACAGAGACATCTGTGAGGACAGACAGACATCTGTGAGGACAGACAGAGACATCTGTGAGGACAGACAGACATCTGTGAGGACAGACGGAGACATCTGTGAGGACAGAGACGTCTGTCTCAGAGACATCTGTGAGGACAGACAGACATCTGTGAGGACAGACGGAAACATCTGTGAGGACAGACGGAGACATCTGTGAGGACAGACAGAGACATCTGTGAGGACAGACAGAGACATCTGTGAGGACAGACGGAGACATCTGTGAGGACAGATGGAGACATCTGAGAGGACAGAGACGTCTGTCTCAGAGACATCTGCGAGGACAGACGGAGACATCTGTGAAGACAGACGGACATCTGTGAGGACAGACAGAGACATCTGTCTCAGAGACATCTGTGAGGACAGACGGAGACATCTGTCTCAGAGACATCTGTGAGGACAGAGACATCTGTGAGGACAGACGGAGACATCTGTGAGGACAGACAGACATCTGTGAGGACAGACTGAGACATCTGTGAGGACAGACTGAGACATCTGTGAGGACAGACTGAGA